CTAGTATGTGCCAACCCCATGCTTGGCACTGGGGATACAGTGAGCAACAAAACAGACCCCACCCTTATCTTCATGCAGCCCAATCAGGGAGACTGGTGTTAATCAAAGAACCACACAAATAATAAGAAATGACAGGAGAGGGCTTCCCTGGTGGCGCAGTTGTGAAGAATCCGCCTTCCAATGCAGGAGACACGGGTTTGAGCCCTGGTCCGGGAAGATCCCCCATGCCGCGGAGCAACTAAGCCCGTGCGCCACAACTACTGAGCCTGCACTCTAGAGCCCGCAAGCCACAACTACTGAGCCTGCGTGCCACAACTACTGAGCCCACGCTCTAGAGTCCACAAGCCACAACTACTGAGCCCGTGTGCCACAACTACTGAGCCTGTGCTCTAGAGCCCACGAGCCACGACTGCTGAAGCCTGTGCACGTAGAGCCTGTGCTCCGCAACAAGAGAAACCACTGCAATGAGAACCCCACGCACAGCAACAAAGAGTAGCCCCTGCTCGCCGCAACTAGAGAAAGCCCGTTCGCAGCAACGAAGACCCAATGCAGCCAAAAATAAATTAATTAATTAACTTAAAAAAAAGAAAGAAAGAAATGACAGGAGACAACTATGCTGGGAGAATGGCTTACCCAGGGAGTTAGGGAGGACTTCTCTGTAGAAGTGACAACTGAGCAGAGGGGAAGTTGTCTGGGGCAGAGAGATTTGGATTGGTGGATGGGAAGGGGCGGGGGGGGGGGCACCTTTCATGATGATGGAACAAATGTCAAAGCCCTTGACTAAATGGGACAGAGCATGCGTAGGCAGAGTGGGGTGGAGAAGGAAGGAGAGGAGGCCACACAGGTGCAGCTGAGCAGGTGTGGAAGGTGTGGGGAAAGGCTTTGTACTCAACTCTGTTTCTCAAAGTGTGGCCTGTGACCACGGCCTCCAAATCTCCCTAGGCTTGTATAAAAAAACAGATCCCTGGGCCCCTCCCCAACTACTGAATCTCGGTCTCTGGGGCCAAGACCCAGGAATGTGAGGTACTGACAAGCCCTCGGGTGGTTGTTCTGTAAACCGGGTTTACGAGCCATCCATCCTGTCTGTCCAGACCAGCAGGAACTACGGGCAGAGGCCAGACCCTGCAGGGTCCATCTCGGCTGAACTAGAGGCACAGAGGAGCAGGCAGATTCATATTTTGGAAAAATCACTCTGGATGTTGAAGGATAGGTTGGAGAGGGAAGCCAACTCAGACTCGGAGGGCTGAGGGCTATAGGATTCCATTTATTTGACTTCCTAGAGGGGGCAGAATGCTAAGGACAGAAAGCAGATCTGGAGTTGGGGAGGAGGGAGAGGGGTTGACAGCAGAGGAGCTTATGAGGAGGTAATGGAGATGTGTATATCTCGGGTGGATGTACAACAGGACTCACAGAACTGTACACTCAAGAGGATGTGTATTACTGTGTATAAATTATATCTGAATTTCTTAAATAAAAAAAAGAAACAACAACAAAAAGGAATAGATTTATAGATCAGTAGAACAGAATTAAGAGTCCAAATAAAACCCCTTACATTTCTGGTCAATTGATTTTTTTTTCCCTTAATATCAACTCTTTATTTATTTATTTATTTACTTACTTATTTATTTATTTATTTTTGCCTGTGTTGGGTCCTAGTTGCGGCACGCATGCTCTTCCTTGCAGAGCATGGGTTTCTCTCTAGTTGTGGAGCGCAGGCTCAGTTGCCCCGCAGCACGTGGGATCTTAGTTCCCCGACCAGGGATCGAACCCAAGTCCCCTGGTTTGGAAGGCGGATTCTTAACCACAGGACCACCAGGGAAGTCCCTGGTCAATTGATCTTTTTTTTTTTTTTTTTTTTTTTTTTGTGGTAAGCGGGCCTCTCACTGTTGTGGCCTCTCCCTTGTGGAGCACAGACTCCGGACGCACAGGCTTAGTGGCCATGGCTCACGGGGCCAGCTGCTCTGCGGCATGTGGGATCTTCCCAGACCGGGGCACGAACCCGTGTCCCTTGCATCGGCAGGCGGACTCTCAACCACTGCGCCACCAGGGAAGCCCTGGTCAATTGATTTTTGACAAAGGTGCCAAGACAATTCAATGGGGAAAAGGATAGTCTTTTTGATAAATGGTTCTGGGACAACTGAATATCCACATGCCAAAAGATGTATTTAGATCCTTCCTTTATACGATGTACAAATATTAACTCAAAATAGGCCATAGACCTAAATGTAAGAGCTAAAACTATAAAACTTCTAGAAGAAATTATGCAGGAAAATCTTCCTACCTCGTGTTAGGCAGGGATCTCAGATGCAACAGCAAAAGCACAAATGACAAAAGAAAAAATTTATAAATTATACTTTACCAAAATTTTTAAATTGTGCACTTCAAAAGACATCATTAAGAAAATTGAAAAAAAAAAAACACCGCGGGCTTCCCTGGTGGCGCAGTGGTTGAGAGTCCGCCTGCCAATGCAGGGGACACGGGTTCGTGCCCCGGTCCGGGAAGATCCCACATGCCGCGAAGCAGCTGGGCCCGCGGGCCATGGCCGCAGAGCCTGCGCGTCCGGTGCTCCGCAACGGGAGAGGCCACAACAGTGAGAGGCCCGCGTACTGCAAAAAAAACAAAAACAAAAAAAACAAAAAACAAACAAACAAACAAAACCTGTGGAAGACTGGAGGAAAATAATTGCAAGTCGTATGTTTGATTAGGGACTTTGTATCCAGAAGAGGGTTGACCCCTGAACAATACAGGGGTTAGGGGCACCGACGACCCCTGAGCAGTTGAAAATCTGAGTATAACTTTACAGCCAGCCTTCCCTATCCAGTTTCCATCTACAGATTCAATCAACCTTGGATCATGTAGTACTGTATTATGTACTTTTTTTTTTTTTGCACTACGCGGGCCTCTCACTGTCCCGCTGTGGAGCACAGGCTCCGGACGCGCAGGCGCACGGGCTGGGCCCGTGGCCCACG